GAGAGAGAGAGAGAGAGAGAGGAGAAAAAGAAGATGGAAGAATTCATTGAAACCATTCAGGATTATCCGGACTATCATCTAAATTTTACCCATTATTTTCACTTCTTTTACCATTAATTTCATCATTTAATGGGAATTCGAAAAGGAAGAAAATTTGAAAATCACCGCTTGTTCAGTTTTTAAACATCAAACATTGTCTGTCTGTTCATGGCAGACAAAACATAATCAGTGGAGGAAATTTTCGGCTGTTAAAAAGAATTTGGAAAGGAAATATGTTGCAATTTTTGTAACAACTATGCGCATAAGCATTTGATTGAATAATAAAACAGTTTAATGGAATTTTTCACTTTTTTTTGAAATTCTAATTGGCATAATTAATTATTTTTAATACTTGGATAATTAATAATCCTAACAAAATTTATATGTAGAACTAACTAACTAACTAATGTTTTATATTAAAAATTGGAATACAATCAACATATGTTAGTATCTATTGGATGTTCAGAAATTTGGCAACAAAAATATTTGAAAAAAATAAATTCGCACAAAATTAATTAATGATTATTACACAATAATGAGTGACTAAATTAATTTCCATTCATTTAATATTTCAATTACTAAAGCTTTAAATCATTTTGTCAATTCCAACTTTTTCAGACGCTGTAATGCAAGACAACTTCGAAAGTGCTGCTGTTGCTGTTGCTGTTACTACTGCTTGGCATTTTTGAGAAATGGATGATAATTTGACTTTTAGCATTGTATTGTGAAAGATCTCAGGAGAGTTTGGAAAACATTATAACTGGTCAGTTGTTGTGCATTCTCATTACATATACATATAGATCAGCCATTTTATATGAAAAGCGACCTGAAGTACTTCATCCATTAACTACAACCAACTAAAAAGAATAGCCTATTGAAAATTTGCTCAGTTGATGAATGGATAAGGCGGAATAAGATTGAAAGTTAGCAACACTATGAGAAGCTCTAATTGAGAGATATTCATGGCAATATTAGAAATGTGGGTGTATTGAGATGACCTGAATTGAACGGTTTGTTTCTCATATGTTAGTGATATTATTGAAATGAAAACAGGTTATCACTCAACTACAACTTAATATTCTCAATGATTCCTAAATCCTTATCATTAAATAAAACTTGAGCTTATCAATGGAATTAAGAAGGAAAAAAGAAAAAACTTGAAAAGAAGTGTTTGAAAAAAGAGAAAAGAAAAATTATATTAGCTGTAGCTGATGTTAGAAATCGCCAAATCAGGAATAAATGATCCGAATTTTTCCTCTGCCAATATTTCCTCTCTTATAATCATATGATTATTAAATTCAGAAATTATCAAATGAGAAGGATACATTATTTAACTAATTAACCTATACTTATTGTTGTAAAATACTAATTCCCCACTTTAACGATATTTCTTTTCTATCGTCATGATAGTAACTAGCATAGAATTCATTCATTAATTATTATAATGTTATTTTCAAATTCTCATCATGGAAAAATTTCAGGAGAAAGAAAAAATTATTTCCATAATTCAGCAAAATTATCGTATGTTATTTTATTGCACTGAAAATTCGACAATTAATCCCAAATGAAAATATTAATTAAAATAATGATATGAAGCGAAATAAGTGAACAAATATTTTTGTTTTATTAAAAAAGAGAAAATAAAAGTTGAGAATAAAAAAAAAGAAAAAAGAAGGAAGAAGAAATTGAACTAACAATATATAATCGATAAAGCATAGAAAAAAAAAGGAATAAACAAAACTAACATCGATGTTCGCTAACTGTTGCTGTTGAATGAGCTTGTTCTGGAACAATTAGAAGAATTGTGGTAATGAGTGGTAAGACAATAAAGAATGATGAAAAAGATGATGTTGATGATGATGATGATGAATGAAAAAGAGTAATATAAATGGTTGCTGTAATTGTAGCAGTTGTAGTTGCAGCAGTTGTAGTTGTTGTTGCTGTTATTGTTGTTGTTGTTGTTGCTATTGTTGCAGCAATAATACTTGACAAACAATACTTCATTCGCCACAACAATCTTTCCGCTACCCTCCTGCAAAAATATAATTTATTGCCTGAGCAATAAATCTATTTCGCTCCTGTGTGCACATTTCAATTCTCCGCCCGAATTTATTAGCCTCTCCCCTACCCCGCCTACCATCTATTCCCCTTCTTCCTTTCCCATTTTTCCCACCTCTTTCCTTCCCCTGTGTCACCTCATCGAGGACAGGACACAAACAGCTTTGTATATGTATTTTAGATATGACAACCACTATCTTCCCACTCTCCTGTCCTCTTCTCTTCCACTTCCCGCTACTCCTTTTTTTTCTTTTTTTTTCACACCATTAATTGACAATTATCTAGTAGATCCCAAAGGCCAAACCCAAATATTTCATCAATGTAGATCTCATTCATCGGGAATGATCCTTCATTAGTTAGCAATTTCTTCCTCTTCTCTTTATTGCTTTTATAGATAATGTTTGTGCATTGTTAGGAAAGTGATTGAAAATCTTTCGGGATACACGATGTTTACAGATGGATCAATGGAATGAGTGATTGATTTTAAATTTTATGAATCTCACGATATCACTATTAATGATATCCAGATAATCTTTAATATTTTAAAAATTTCTATCCAATCAATAATCTTTCATCAAACATGTTCGATTCTTCTGGAACATTACTTCCAGCCAATCTTGATGACATTCTTGTTTCTAATTTTCACTCGTTTTCAGTAGGAAAGAAAAAAGTAATGCTGTTATGGGATGGTAATTTTTGACAAAATTTTTTTTCCAAAAGTTTCTTAAAAAAAAAGGAAGAAAAGAAATGACAGAAAATGAAAACCAGCGGTTTCGTTAAAATTTCTCAACGAAATGTCATGTTGTGTTTTAAAAATTCATTGTTTTTTGTAGCAAAAATCCAAATATTTTATACAAATTTTAGTTCAATAATATTTGAATGGAATAAAAATTTGCCACAAATGAAATGGTTCCAAATTTCAAAATTTTCTTCCAATATAAATTTTTGTTTGGGAAAAATGAGGAAATTTTGATATTCTAATAAATTCCTCCAAATAGTGAATAGTAAATGATTAGATATGAATGAAGACGAATAAATGAAGTCAACGAATAATATTAATCGATCAAATTTAGGAAAATACAAGAAGAAAGGTATAAACGTATATATATATATATATATATATATATATATATATATATATATATATATATATATATATATATATATA